GAAGGTGGATCTGACTCCATTCAATGAGGAGAAATCAAATGACATACAAGTTTCATTCTGAAATCCATAATTTAACTTTTGGAATATTTCAATTCATAGAAAGAATCTTTCAATGCAAGTTCTATTTTTAATTAGATAAATTTATATTCACACCTCAAGATGGAGAAAACTTCTGATTTTGTTGCCTCGAAATGGTGGAAGTTCCAAAATATGTACACATAAAAATAACTTATTTGACGAGGGCTTTCCATGGTGTAAAAATGTTTGTCAAAGGAAGTTGCTCTGAGTGAAGCAAAAATAGTGCTTGGGATAATATTCTGTCAGAAATAGTCACTCATTTAACTTACAAAGCAGTCAGAGGAGAGAACACTCTATCCAAACTGGAGGGAGATTCTCAGTTATAGAATCATGATCTACAGAGAAACGGCGAGTGCTTCAGTTACATGGCAACTTTTAAGAAGCTCACAGGCAAGTGTGTCTTTACTATAAAGAAAGAAATAGGAAAATGCATTTTGAACAAAATGGCTGAGGGGGAGAAACCAAATGTGAAGACTAGCAATGACGGGACCACGTGTTGGAGTTTGGCTTTGGGGTCAAGGTGAGTCTGGCCTTTGCTGAGTGATGTCGAGGAGGAGGTGCGCCCACACAACAGGTATCGGCACCGCCAGCCGCATGTACAGAACAGCGGGCGGGCCAGCCGGCACATGCCTGCTTCGCCCACTGCATGGAGGCCATTCTCTGTCCACTTTCCACACGGTCTGGCCCAGGCACAGAGTCCCTGGAGGTGAGTTTGGGCTCTGCTGCAGAGCCCCGGCACGCTGAGGGGGCACTGGGAGGAGCTTTCCCCTGGCCCTACCCAGTCCTTTCCCACCACACACTCGACTCTGGGGGGCACAGCTGGCATCTGCCCTCCCTGTGGCCTGTAAGCAGAGCTCTTCACAGCCCAAAGCACCTGCGATACCTCCTGAGCCACATCAGCTCAACACACACATGCTGAGTGAGCAGGCGGTTGGCTTTGTTGTTGTTGTAATCCTCACCTGAGGATATTTTTCCCATTGATTTTTAGAGAAAGTAGATGGGGGTGGGAAGAAGAGAGAGAGAGAGAGAGAGAGAGAGAGAGAGAGAGAGAGAGAGAGAGAGAGAGAGACATCAATGGGAGAGAGACATCAATGGGAGAGAGACACAATGATTGGTTGCCTCCCACACACACCCTGGGGCAGGGGATTGAGCCTGTAACCCAAGTATGTGCCCTTGACAGAGAATCAACCCCAAGGCCCTGCTGTGTGGGGGCCAATGTTCTAACCACTGAGCACATTGCCCAGGAAAGATTGGCTGACTTTTTATTTTGATTAATTTCTTGAAATATTTTTTATTGATTTTTTTTTACAGAGAGGAAGGGAGAGGAGGGATAGAGAGTTAGAAACATAGATGAGAGAGAATCATCGATCAGCTGCCTCCTGCATACCTCCCACTGGGGATGTGCCCACAACCAAGGTACATGCCCTTGACTGGAATCGAACCCAGGGCCCTTCAGTCTGGAGGCCGACGGTCTATCCACTGAGCCAAACTGGTTTTGGCAGGTTGACTTTTTAAGTATCTCTGATGACACTGGTTCTAAAGTAAGGTGACCAGACGTCCCAATTTTTAACAAATTGTCCCGCGGCGTTTTAAAAACAGTCCCGATTTTAAAACACCGCGGGCCGCAGGACAAATGGTTCACAAGAGGGACACCTGGTCACCTTATGCTAAAGACCACAGTCACTGCGGAAACTGGCCAGGCCACCGCACTGATGTCAGAGGCGGGTGCCTGCGCAGGAACTTCCGCACGTGAGCGAGTGGTGTGAGGGCGTGAGCGCTGTCAGGGCCGCACAGTCGTACAAGTGCGGGCCGGTCTGCCCGAACCCAGAATGCGGGGGTGTCATTCCCGTTGCACCTCAGGAACAGGGTCCTCAGCTGTGTTCTTCGGGTTCGGAATTTGCCAAGTTCATGAGTAACAGAATCCCCACACCACGAGGCGCTCCAGTAAATCCTCTGCTTGCATTTGGATTCCTGAGACGGTGGCTGACTTGGCTGTGTGTTCTGGAAGCCGCGGAGAACAAACCTGTAAATACTCGGCTCTAAACGTCACGGGGAGTAATCGTTGGCGGGCAAAGTCCTCAGACAGCACCCAGATCCTACCCCTGCCCGGCACGGCCGCTGGCCCGGCACTTGGCAGTGAGGGCATGCACCGGTGCCATGAAACACAATCTGCAGTGAAAATCGCGTGCTCCCCTCACCACGCTGATAATCAATCGCTAATTACAAGGATTAAGTTGCAATTAAAAACAAATGCACATGTCACTTACAATTTTATTCAAAGTAAAATGAGCTGCTTTCAGGCTCTTGAATGAAATAAAAGAAAGAAGACGCTGTGGGCATTCACTCCCATTGAGAACAGGCCATACCGATAAGGCTGCCCTGTCACCAGCCCTGGCGAGGCCGCTGAGGGGCTTTAGAAAAACAGCCGCTTCCTCACACCCGCCGCCCGAAAGTGAGCTGCCGCAGAGCCTGGCAGGCACGGGCCAGGCTGGCCTTGGGGCGGCAGCGCGGGTCCGGGGGCCTGGCTGGGTCTGGGGCCTGGCTGGGCGCCGGCAGCCGCCGCTGAAGGAAGAGGTGAGCCTGTGAGCTTCTGCGGAGGCTCCCTCAGTGTCTCGGGGAGCCCGGCGGTGCAGCTGCTCAGACAGAAATCCGGGTGACTCCGGGGAAGGAAGGCCGCCCCCTGACACCGGCTCCATTCCAAAGCCTCCACGTGGATAAAACAGGCCTGGTCTCTGCACGAGTTACTGAGCCCTGGGTCCTAGGAGTTCTACGCAGAAATCTGACTCCCTCCCTGTTCCTAACATCCCCTTAATCTCCTTATTCCTGACACTGCCTTCACCTCCCTCTCATTCCTAATATCGCCTTAAGGCTCACTGATTGCTGATAAATTGACTTTATTTTAATCAGGTTTGGAAATCCCGTTAAATCCAGGAGGGTTTTTGAGGAGAAAGTGTTCCATCTGAAAACAATCTGTTTGCTGCTTGCTGCATCGCATGGAGCGGAGTCGCTTTGACTCAGTCGGAAACTGATCTGAATCCTCTGCTGCAGAGACACGAGGGGCCTGCGGCCTCGGTGCCACCTGCACGCCGTCAGCGGGCCTCGGCCTCCGGGCAGCCGGTGGCTGGCAGAGCACACGGAAGGGGGGCTCTGTGCTTCTCGCTCCCTCTGCTGCGAGCTGTCTTTGTGTCTCACTTCCCGCCAGTGTCTTCCTTTCATACCTGAAGGCAATTTCCCGCCAGCACCTGGCAATGCATGGCACTCCTGTCTTCCACATGTTTTCTCGTGTTAACCAGCACCAGGGTGTGGTCTTGACGGCAGGAGCCCCGAAAACCTCCTGTTACTCCTGCACCTGCTAGCAGACGGGACTCACAAGCAAGTGTTTTCTCAAGCGGCACGATCACTTTAAAATTTATTTTTTATTGATTTTACACAGAGAGGAATTGAGAGGGACAGAGAGTTAGAAATGTCGATGAGAAACACCGACCAGCTGCCTCTTGCACACCCCCCACTGGGGATGTGCCCGCAACCAAGGCACATGCCCTTGACCGGAATCGAACCCGGGACCTTTCAGTCCGCAGACCGACGCTCTACCACTGAGCCAAACCGGTCCTGGCGACACGACCGCTTTAAAGCTCTGACCGAGCGCGGCTCCCACCCTTAGAGCCGTCAGAGCCTGGCCGGCCTCCCCCCTCAGTCCTTGGGTTCCTTCCACGAGGAACCAGAGGCTGATGTCTATGGCTGTGCCTTGCATTCCAAGCTCAGGAGAGGACCGGACTTCAGTCTTACTTCTTCTAACATGCACGTTAAAAAAAAAAAAAAAAAAAAAAGTCTAAATTACTAGCAATGGGGAGAGGAGTAAATAGAGTATTCCCATGTGATGGAATCTTAGATGCTTATTAAAAACACGCTTCTTGTTTTCATAAAATATTTCATCGCAGGAAAATTTATCATGGTACCATGTTAAATGGAAAAGGCAGATACAAAACTACATATATGACGTGATTGATTACATTACGTGTCTACACATTCACACACACACAACCCATATGTACATGCAAATATTCAGGCTTCTCAGGATACTGGAAAGAATTAAAATCTTACTAACCATATGGATAAATTTTTCTAACAGTTAAGAAATTTATTGTGAGTAAATTATTTCTAAATTAAAATATAAAGCATAAGCTGGAAAAAAAAACAAACATCATTAGCAAAGCACAATGTAGAGTATTGGGGTGTGCTCATGCAGGGATTAATGTCATCCCCAAGCATGGGTCCATGACAACATCCTATGCATGGGTCCATGACAGCATCCCTACACATGAATCCATGACAACATCCTATTCATGAGTCCATGACAGCATCCCTACACATGAATCCATGACAACATCCTATTCATGAGTCCATAACAACATCCTATGCATGAATCCATGACAACATCCAAATTCATGAGTCCATGACAACATTCCTATCATGAGTCCATGACAACATACTGTGCATAAATCCAAGACAATATCCCCATGCATGAATCCATGACAGCATCTTGTGCATGAGACCATGATAATATCCCTATCATGAGTCCACAACAACATCACCATGCATGAATCCATGACAACATCTTATTCATGAATCCATGACAACATCCCCATGCATGAGTCCATGACAAAAGCCCCAGCATGAATCCTTGACAACATCTCTACACCTGGGTCTGTTTTGAGATAGAAGTCATCTCACTTATATCCTAGGATCCTACTTGACTACTGAGCAAGCTGTACAATGCAAGGATTTGGCATTGAAGTCTCTCCGTAACATATCCCCCAGCGAGGCGGACAGTGTCGGTGAGGCAGCCTCTCCTCGGGAGAGACCCTGGGAAGGCCGTGCTGGGGGAAAGCGGGGAGCCGCTGTGACGTGGCCGCAGGCCTCACCTGATGTCGGTGCACGTGATGCAGGGGATGTCCCGGCTGTTGGTGGTGATGAGGTTCAGAGCTACCGAGGTTTCCCCGTCAGAGGTCGGGTGCGCCGAACATTTGAAGAAAAACTCCTGCGAGAAAGAGAAATACCATCAAAGGCACGGCAGGCGGCCAGCGCTTCCCCGTCTATGCATCTCCACAGGAAGCGGTCGCAGCCCGCACACATTCCTTAAATGTTAGGGAATCGGGCAGGAGGAGGACTCCTCATGGGGTCGGAGTTGGAAATAATCAGCACCAGACCTCGCAGGGGAACGATGACCGTGGGCGGCAGGCAGGGACGCCCTCTGTGAGGCCAGGGTCTGAAGCTTCCCTTCTCCCGCTCCAGCCCGGGGAGCAAGGCCCTCACGCACAAGTGCGTCTCACGGGCGAACCCCACGCGGACGCAGGAGGAAGCCTGAGGTAGCGTCACGTGATGAGGAGAGGGATACCTGGAGCCGTGGGTTGACTGGCCCAGAGCCACACAATCGCAGGCGAAGCCAGGGGTGACCCAGTGCTTCTGTTTTTCTCACGGCGTCTCCACACCTTTGGCCTGTGAGCAGCGAGGGGAAGGCCGGCGGAAGGACCCTGCTCTCAGAGGCAGGCAGGCCAAGGCGACCCTCAGAGGAGCAGAGTGTGACTTGCCCAGCTCACGTGCAGGCCCCACACCTGCCTGCTCCCCAGAATCCTGGGGGGACCGGCCCCACCCCCACGGCGGCAGCTGGGATGTTGGAATTGTACCTCTCACCTTGTTCATTCATTTCCCTACTCTTGTTCTGCACACACTCCTTTTTCATTTAATTTTGCTCTATTTTTATTTTTTAAAAATAGTTTGATTTTTCGAGACACACGAAGGGAGAAGAGAGAAACATTGATGTGTGAGAGTAACGTTGATCGGCTGCCTCCTTCCTGCACGCCCCCTACGAGATCAAGCCCAGAACCCGGGCATGTGCCCTGACAGGGAATCCCACTGGCAACTGTCAGAGTGGCACCCAGCCCGCGGAGCCACAAGGGTGGGCACACCCTTCCTCTCAGCTTTTCACAGGAATCACGGTCTTAGGATGGATAATACCCTCCCTTCGCAACCAAGATTTCTATTTACGTTTCCTCATGTCTTCCTCCCGTCCTTTCCATGTCTGTGCAACCCTGCTCCCCTTCGCTCCCCGAGTGCTGGGCCAGGAGACTCTGCGTCTTCCGGGGCAGTCCCTCCATGGCACTACACGCCTGTGAGGACACCTGTCCTCTACGAACAGCTCATTTATTTGCCCTTAAATCCTAGGCCTGGCGTCAGCCCACTTCCCTCACAGCTGGAGAGCCGTGTCTCCGCTTCGGGCCATGTGTCTTTGTTGCACTTTGCAACCCCACGCTGCTGCCTGAAAGAAGCCATGAGCAGATCTAGCTTTGACCAAGGAAAGTATCAACAAAACGTGGCCGATCGGACTCTGTGCGCAGGTGCTGATTGCCTGCCCGCACCCGTGCCTGAGGTGGTTGTGGAACATCTTCCTTCTACTTGCATCCTCACAGGGCCTGGCATGGGCCAAGCGTTCGCTATGCACTGAGTGGCCATGATCTCTGAACGCATAATCATCTGGCCACTCAGTGTGTGTGTGTGTGTGTGTGTGTGTATTAGAGGCCCGGTGCATGAATTCGTCATGGGTGGGGTCTGGCCAGCCTGGCCAGGAGGAGGGGACATGGGTGGTTGGCCAGCCTGCCTGCTGGTCAAACTCCTGGTCGAGGGGACAATTTGCATATTAGCCTTTTATTATATAGGATATACACTGAGTGGCCAGATGATTATGTGCTCAGAGATCATCATCATCTGGCCACTCAGTGTATTTCTTACATGAAAAGCTAATGGATTTACCTAACAGACGTGGCCGGTTTCCTCTACACATCTGACAGCGCCCCTAACTTGTTCTTTCCCGTGTGCGACACACCGGCCTCCTCTCCCCTGCCCTGAGCCCGGCGAGCGAGTCTTGAGTGCAATGCATTGGGAACTCCTGGGCCTGGGGTGGGAGGGTGGGGAGGTGAGAGGGCGAGGTCATGTGATGTGATAAAGCTCAAACAGAAATTACCTGTCTAAATATGTGGTGAGCCAGACCCTGCACTTCTTTTTTATTTTTAAAAATATTTTTTAATTGATTTCAGAGAGGAAGGGAGAGGGAGAGAGAGATAGAAACATCAATGATGAGAGAGAATCATTGATCGGCTGCCTCCTGCACGCCCCCTACTGGGGATCAAGCCTGAAACCCAGCATGTGCCCTGACTGGGAATCGAACCGGTGACCTCCTTGTTCATGAGTCAATGCTCAACCAATTGAGCAGCACTAGCCAGGCAAATGCTACCTTTTCACTCATCCTTTAAATGCTGCGATCCTTCAGGCATTGAGAGGAAGTTAGAGCAGCTCCTGCCGCGAAGGAGCAGGTGGAGGGCGCCGCCCTGTGCACGTGGGCTGGCGGCCACTGCTTCCTGTCACCATGGTGAGCCTCCCCACAGCAGAGCTGTCCCTGCAGAACGGCTGGGCCGGGCCATGGGGATGGGGCTTCGCACAGACACAGACACAGACACAGACGGCCAGGTTGTGCTTCCATCCCCTCTGTGCTGCACACCCGCCGGCAGACACCCCACCAGCAAACCACCCAGGGCTGGGCCAGCAGATCAATCCCCGCAGACAACTACCCCGTCCTTCCCAGGGAGTGTGCGCCAATCCGGTGTGAGAGGCACAGGCCGGCGGGAGCTCCCTCAGTCATGTGATGTGATAAAGCTCAAACAGAAATTACTAGCCTGTCTATTAAATACGTCTCTCTCTCTCTCTCTCTCTCTCTCTCTCTCTCTCTCTCTCTCTCTCTCTCTGTCTCTCTCTCTCTCTCTCTCTCTTTCTCCTTCCCTCTCCCTCTCTCACACTCTCTAAAAGAAAAGAAAAAGCAGCTGAAACCGGTTTGGCTCAGTGGATAGAGTGTCAGCCTGCGAACTCAAGGGTCGCTGGTTCGATTCCAGTCAAGGGCATGTACTTTGGTTGCGGGCACATCCCCAGTGGGGGGCGTGCAGGAGGCAGCTGGCTGATCGATGTTTCTAACTCTATCTCCCTTCCTCTCTGTAAAAAATCGATAAAATATATTTTTAACAAAGAAAAAAAAGAAAAAACAACCAATGGAACAACATCCTCCAGGGAAGATGAACAACAACAGCAAAAAAATAATAATAAAATCCAGGAATAAAGATACAGGTTTGGATACAAAGCGACTATGGAACTCGGAGCACCACTCTTGCGGACGTTGCTCATTTAACAATGCCGGCGGGAAATCTGGGTTAGACCTAGTGAAACGGGTCAGCCCTCACCAGTGAGTGAGTCTGCGATGCTCAGTGGTAAGTGTTTCTCTTGGTAAGGCACTAACACAGCCTTTTAGGGGCGGGACCTCAGTGCTGTCGCTCCCAAGATGCAGGGCCGTGGTTTGCAGACGGTCACTGCTGCCCACTTACCACAGCCACCGCCAAAGTCACCAGGAGGACCACCGCCTTCTGCTAGTCCCTCTGTTGGTTCATAAGAAATAAATGCATTGTGTACATACTGTGTACATGTAAACACACACACACACACACACACACACACACACACGAGCACGCATGCACCACCCTAAAGCCTTTCTCAGCAGGGAGAGGCGTCTTGGGCGTTCCTGCAGCAAGCACACGCCTTCTGATTGCACCACTGGGTCAGTCTGACACAGCGCCTTTCCCATCACTTTGACTACTGCTGCACTTCAGAAGCATTTTTTAAAATTGTCCTTTATTAGCCAATTCAAAAGCATAAACCTTGTCTGTTCCCTAGGCCAATGTGATAGGTAATCAACATTAAAATGAAATTCTCACACCCAAAAGGTGCTGAAAACACAGTTTCAGTTCTTTTCTCTAAATGTGGTGTAACATTTCACTTATGGCAAAACCTGACAGGGGCTTACTATTTCCAGTCTATATTTATCCGGCGTGGTGTGACTAGTCAGACTTCTCACTGCAAAGTTACTATGTGCATATTTTAAAAATGACAGGGCATAGACACTCCGGGAGGTATTTCAGAGCTGAAATATAAAAACCGCACAGCCTCTTTAAAATCTAAAAATATCTCAGTCTCGAAGCCTCTGGCCCCGGGGAAGCACACTCCAGTGCTGGTGGGGCTGTGACTCCCCCAAACACAGCATGGCGGTGGCTGCGTGGGTGACACGTGGCGAAGCCGTGACGGGCTCTCGGTCTGCAGCCGGCCGGACCCTGGCAGACACCGCGTGGTCCACGCTGCCCCTCAGGCCTTCGGAGAGGGGCTTCCTGCCTCAGGGTGCGCGGACCCCACCCGACACGCAGGCGTCCGCGGCGTGTGTGGCTGGCTGCACGCGTGAGCAGAGCTTTCCAGGGTCCGTCTCGCACGAAGGAAATAAGAGGATGAAGTTGTGACCTCCCACCAGTGACCGGAGCGGACCTCTGGGATGGGCACACGGACTGGTCTGTTAGCCGGTGGTAACCTGCCAGAAACGGCGGGGCCCTCTGGCTGCGGGCCCAGCGCTGGGGACAGTGGGTGGAGTTCTGGGCCCCGCCACGGGCTGCTCCCCTGGCTTGGCTCTGAGACTTCCTCCCTTTCCCCGCGGCTGCTGCTCTCGGTGCTGAATCTACCGGGACAGCGTGTCCCACTGACACTGTCCCCGCTGCCCCCGCTCCCGCAGCCGGGCTGAGAAATGGGGGCCGCAGAGTGGGCATCCGGGCAGGACGGCAAGAAGCGCCCTCCCGGGCAGTAACTCCCACGCCGACAACACGGCTTAACTGGCTACCAGCCAAGAGAATATGGAGCAAGCACAAAGTCCGAGCTTTAAACATTTCAAACGTCTTCAGCCCTGGAACCTAAGCGTTCCCTCCACAGTCCTCGCTGCGCTGGCACGGAGAATTTAAAGCTGCTTTAGTTCTTTACGGCGGGAGCACAGGCCCATGCACCGCCTCTCACAGACACTGCGCAGAGCGCTCCACACTCTAATAGCCTGCAGCTCTCACTTAGCCCGCTGCCTCGCTAGGAAAGGAAGGAGATAAGGATAATTTGTAAACTTACCTATAAAGCCGA